CTCACCCTGCTCCGCCTCATCAACTCTCTAGACAGCTCCCAAAGCTGCTGCTGCCTCATCCTTTCCAAGCGGGAAGCAGCCCTTGGTCCAGGCTCAGTCTTTGGTCCTCATCACTTCTCCGCTGACATTTGTCTCTCAGGTGGCTCATGCAGCCACCAGCTCCAGGTAGACAACTCCCAGTTTTCTATTTCCAGCCCAGACCTTTCCCACAAACTCCAGCCTTGACCACCCACCTGCCCTGCACATCTCCCCTTGGCTGGCTGCTCGACACCCCTCCCTGTGCCTGCGTGGAGCCCCTGCTCCTCCAGAACATGATCCCCTCAAACTTTGAAGTCTCCTTAACTCTTCTCTCTCACCTCCAATCCATCAGGAAATACAGGTAACTCTGCCTTCCAAGCATGTCCCAAATCCAACCACTTCTCACCACTGCCAGTGGCTTCCACGCTGCCTCGAGCCACCACTCGCTCGCACCTGGACTGCCTCAAAGGCCTCCTATCAAATCTCCCTGCTCCGACGTGGAAGCCACCTGAGTCAGACCTCACCACTGCTGTGCTAAAATCCCTCCAGTGGCTCCTCCATGTCACACAGAGTAAAAGTCCCAGTTCTTTGATGGCAGTCTTCCATGATCAGCCCCTCTCCTACCCTCTGCCCCAGCTCCCGTCTCCAACCACAGACACTCGTGCCTGCAGGTCTTTGCACTGGCTGTTCCTGCCCACGATGCTCTTCCACCACAGGCTCACCTGGCCCAGTCCCCCAGCTCCTCCTAGTCTTCAGTCCAATGTCACTTTTCAAAGACACGTCTGCTGACCACACCCCTTAGGGATACAACCAGCCTCCCCACTTTACACTCCCAGCCCCCTTTAACCTGCTCTAGTTTTTCTTTTTCTTCCCATTTACTACCTCGAATGTTCCATATCATTGGCTTATCGTCCTTACTATGTATGGCCCATCTCTTCCTGGCTAGAAGACAAACAATAGGAGAGCAGAGATCTCTGTCCGTTTTATTAGCCAAGTGATCCCAAGAGCCCAGAACCTGGCAGAGTATTTTCATTAAGTGAATGAAAGACTAAAAGAACGGTGCTGGCCCTCTGGTCCTGCCTCAAATGAAGGCTTTGCCATGGTCCACTGAATCCTGTGACCCCAGAGAAAGGAAACCAAGACCAAGTCCTGCTAAAGGCTCGTCAGCCACGGGGGCTTGTGAACAGGCCAGGCAGCGGTGAGGAGGGCTGCACTGGGGGCTTTGGATGCTTCTCGGCCAACAGCCCCCAAGTGTGATGACCACAAACAAAGACGCTGTAGAGATCAATGCCCCGGAGATGTGTGATGGGCCCAAATCTGCCAGTTCACAAACAAGACAGGCAACCGAGTGCTCTCCCAGACTCGCCAAGGAGCAGGGCTGGGAACAGAATCATGAGGATTTGGCCAGTGAGACTTCTGGGTCTTGTTTTAAATAAATCCAATCTGGGAAAAACACAGCATCGCTGGACAGGCTCGTGGTAGGTCTGATGGTTCACTCTGCAGGAAGATTCACGGTAGGTCTCCATTAAACCAGGAGCCCACCCCTGCCACGGAGCTTAGGAAGCCTGAGCCAGGGTCCACCTGACCACAGGGCAGCGTGATGGGGGGAAGGTGCACTGGACTGGGAGCCAGGAGATCTGGGTCCTTGGCCTACCTCTGCCCCACCCCCACTCGCTCTGTGACTCTGGGGAAGTCACCAGCCCCCATTGGGCCTGAGTCTAAGCATTGACCATCTGTCAGGCGCGGCACTGCGGGCTGATTCAGAGACCATGGACCAAGTTGTGCCACTCAGAGCCTTCCGACCAGTGGAGGAGACAGAGACACAGATACCCCTCCCCCCGTGACTACACTCATTGAGCCTCGGTGATGTTCCGGACACTGCTCTGAGCAGTAGGAACTCAAGTCGTCTCTACACCTCTGCCATCATCAGACACAGCTATACGCCCACCTACAGATGAAGACACGAGGCATAGTGGGGTTAAACATCTGCCCAAGGTCCCACCAAGAGCTGGTGGCAGAGCCAGCATTGCCCTGGCATCTTGTCCCTGGACCTGACACTCTCTATCAGTTCACCATTCTGCCAGCAGGTTCAGCAATGTGGCTCAGGTGCATGTCAGAGGCCAGCACCCACAGCAGAGGGGAAGGAATAGGGGCATCGGGAAGTCTTCTGAGAGCAGAGTACAGAAGGACAAGCAGGCACTTGCCAGGCAGATGGGACCATGGGAGACATTGCAGGCAGGGGCACTGAGCGAGCCAGGGCCAAGGAACTTAAACTTGCCTGGCAAGTCACAGCCACCACAAGCAGATGTCCAGGCTAGAACACCGGGCTCCAGAGACACTCTGGTGCAGACTGAGTGTGAAAGGGCAGGCAGGGACCTGTCCATGGAAGATCTGGTAAGTCAGCCTCCAAACCTGGACTTCATCCTGAAGTCATTACTTCCCAACCCTGGATACACATTAAAGTGCTGGGAGATTTGAAGAAATCCCAGTATCTGCTAAAAACAATGACCAATCTAGTGGCAGTGAACACCCTAGTGCTGAACTATGGCCTCTAAGTGCCATTCCCCAGTAAAAGGAACCAGGGCTCCTTTGAAAAGCAACGGACTTGAGTACAAGATGAGCCCAGGATTCTGTATCATCCCAGACGTCAAGGAGACTATAGGGGACTGCCAGGCCCAGTCAAGGAACCAGATGCCCCCGCTGGCCAATGGTCAGACCAGGAAGCATCAGTGAGGATAATGATACTGTGCATCAAAATGCACCCAGCATGTTTAGAAGCACAAGTTTAAGACTCTAATTAGGTGCTGCTATTGGAGAAAGCTAGTGAACCAATTTGGTGTCTTGAAGATGCAGGGAAAGAATCAAGCTTTTCCTTTATGAACTTTACCACTAGGTCACCAAGTAGTAATCGAAAGGAAATGTTCTGGTTGCCAAATGAAGAAGGAATGGTAGAATTAGGAGGTTGCCATGTTGCAACCCTGCATTAACCAACAGATTTAGGTGTTGAATATCAATGGCTGCTACCATCTCAAAAGGAAAGGCCACCAGACATTACATGCCGCCTAACAGAAGAACATAAAACCGCTTATGAAGTCACCCCACCACCCCCTCACCCTACAAAAGAGAAAATGAATCTGTCAGGTTTCTAGACCCAACTAGCACTTTACAAGAAATACAGAGGAACCTACTGAATGACACTTGGGGATGAAGTGCAACATTCAGACTGTGGGAAACTGTTCTGGAGAAGCAACAAATACGTTATAAGAGGAAATGGGTGGTTATGGGGTGTCTAGAGTCAACAAAAGTATCAACCAATCACAGTGTGTGGACCTTACCCAGACCAATTCAAACAATCTCTTAAAACATGCAGTTACAAAATATATGAGAAAACTGGAAACTTCAACACTAATATTTGATGATAGTAAAGGATTTCATTTTTAGCTATGATAATAGTATTTTTTAAGAGGCCATATCATTTAGAGATACAATCAAAGAGTTCACAGGTGAAATAATATAATATCTCAAATTTATACAAGGTGCTACAGAGGGTAGGATGGGGGTGTGGATGAAAGAAGATTGGCCACAAGTTCATTGTCAAAGTGGGGTGAAGGGTGCATGGGAGTTCATTATACTATTCTGCCGACTTTTACTTTTTATAGCTTGAAGTTTTCCATAATAAAAATTTATAAAAATACTAGGCCCCACCCCTAGAGACTCAAATTAATTACTGTGGGCTTTAGCTCAGGCTCTGTAGTTTTTAAGGCTCCCCAGGTGTTCTTAATGCTCAGTGAAGGCTGAAACTACTGTAATCACTCACACGAGATGCCAAGAGCCCACACGGGGACCAAGGCAGAGCTCCAGGCCTGGGAGGGGTCACACCAGGCAAAGGAGCAGGTGGGAGAGGATAAGGATAGAACAGGGCCAAGGACAGTGCAAAGATTTCAGGCTCTGTGACTGTGGGTGCTGGTCACTGGAATAGGGAATGTGTCGGGGCTGGTGGCTTTGGGGCCTGGGAGCAGGTGCTGAGTGGGTTTTGGACTTGCTGACTTTGAGGGGGCCCTTGTAACTTCGGTGGACGTGTCTAGTGGAGAGTTTGGCCGTGAGTCTAGAGAGCTGCACAGAGCCTGAGCACACACAGAAACCGGGGCCCCAAAGGCTGTCCCCGAAACTGAGATGGGTCAGGACGGCGGCAGCCAGGGATGACACGAGGGCCTCTAGGAAACAACAGCATCTCGGCCCCTGCCCCTGGGAGGGGGCCTGCCCTTGGGAGGGGGCCTGGATGACGTCGTCCCTTTCACGACCGGTCTCCATTCCTCGCCCCTCCACCCCTTGTCCTCCTTCCTCAGATAGCAGCCCAGGGGGCAGCTGGCCAGGCCGAGGGGCCCCGTCTTCCTGGGCAGGCGCTTCCAGAGGCCGGTGCAGCCTTTGGCCGCCAGACTGGCCTGAAACAGCCAGTGCTCATTCATTCAACAAACATTTACAGAGTGCCTGTCTGTGCCAGGCGCTGTGCTAGGCAGGCGTGAACAGGAAGCCCAGGGTCCTGCCCTCTGGGAGCTTGCATTCTAGGGGCACGCTGACAATGAACAATTATACAAACACACATTTTGGAATTTTATAACATGGCTTCTCAGCTGGGGGAAGAGGCCACAGAATCCGAGAGCTTCCTCGGGGTGCTGGGAAAATGGCCCAACCTCACCAGGCAGTGCCGCCGTAATCACCCAGGCCCCTTGCATCGAGAGCTGACAGGGTCTCACTTTATGGCAGCAGCAACCCAGGTCCAGAGGGGAGATGGCCCACCCCAGGCCACCCAACGAGTTTAGATCTTGAGACAACTTTGCATTCTCAAAGTCTGCACTGAGAGTTCTGTAGGCGATGAGTTTACTCCTCACTCTTCTAAACCATGAGGTCTTTTTCTTGGCGCAGAAACGACCACTGATCACAGAGGACCAAAGGGCCCTCCCTCCCCAGGAGCAGGGACTTACCACGGAGTCCAGAAACTGAATGTAACACTCCAGCCCAGGCCTGGTTTCGCAGAACTGCCGGAAAAGCAGCCTCCCAATCGGCTGCTTGTCACATAAACTGCAGTAATCTCTGTCTGGAGACAAGAAAAGAAGAACGTGGTGAGACCCAGGAGAGGGCCAGGCGGGGCCTTCCTGTCAACCCCGCACCTGGATGCAGAGCGCCGGACGGTGGAGGAAGGTGACCGGCACACTCTCAGGACCCCCTGTTGCAGCCAAAGTCTCGGCAGACCCAGAGAGACAAGGTCAGTAGAGGAAGGCACCAGTTACAACCCAGCCTCTTGCCCTGCCCCTCCCCCTTTCCAATGCCCTGTCTTTTGTGTGGACGTGCCGGCAGTTCCGGGGACTGATTCCATGCCCTGGCTAGGGTGAAGGCACACGACACAAGCCAGTCCAATCAGAGTGAACCCCGGACTGCCTGGTGCCCTCTTCCTCCGGAGGCTGTGGTGGGTGGGTGTGAGGCCAGGGTCTGCTGCAGTGTGTGACACTGCCGGGGAAGCCGCTTTGGGGAAGAGGCTGACACACAGAAAGGGTGAGAGTGGGGAAAATTATAAGAAGTAGACTTGGTGCCCTGGTGATGTCACATAGCTCTGGATCAAACCGTGCCTGCATCCCAAACGGCATCTGAAATGCTTATTTGTTGGACAACATATTCCCCTTGTGTAGGGCAGTTCAGAACATTTTCAACTGCTTGTAGCTCAAAGCATCCTAAGTGGATACAGTAAAAAGAAAAAGTAAAATAAAAATCATTTTTGCCCCGTTGGAGAAAAGCACAGTCTTAGGATGCTTCAAACTGTGAAAACTCTGCATTTTCCAGCCGAGGAGCTAGGGGCAAGGAGACAGGAAGTGACCCGCCCTCAGCCGCTCGGTAGCCAAGAGGGTTCTGAAGAGGAAACAGTGCAAGACTTTCAGTCGGGAGGCCCAGGGACCAGGGTGGTAGGCAATGACTTGCTGTGTTACTTCCAACAACTCATCTGCCCTCTCTGGGCTTAGTTTCTTCCTCTGAAAACGGAAATCGTGTGTTGGAGTTGGGATGGGGGTCCCTTTCCTTCTGCCTCTTCCTCCTATGATACTAAAGCCTCTGTATGAAGTTTTCTCTGGCCAGAAATGCTCTCAGGACCCTGGAGGCACTGGCCTCGGACCCTCTCCAGCACTGGACTCTGGGCCTTTGATTTTGCAGCTCTGCATGGGACACAGTCAGATGGCCTCGTGGGGACACCGAGACGGTCCCAGAGCTTGGGAAGGAGGGCGACGTGGCCGGAGGGGATGAGTAAACCCCTGCCAGGTGTGGAGGAGGAGCCAGGCCAACATGCCCCCAGCAAGGGCTTATCTTGAGATACGGAAGGCAACAAGGAGATGCGAACACAGCCATCGCGCCAGCACAGCTTTGATTCTGGAGTGGAGTCGCAGGGAGTTTGTCCAGGAGGTCAGGCTCTGACTGGCAGGGAGGGAGGATCTCCAGGTAGCTGTGGCGTGGGCTCGGGAGCTGAGCCCCAGAGCCCCTCTGCTCACTGCCTGTGACCTGGGGCGGCTGACCTGACAATGCTGTCCCTCCATTTTTTCACCTGTAAACCGGGGACCTGACGCCGAGGACTGTCGTGAGGATTGAACAAGACAGTGCACAGACAGTCCTCAGACCAGAGGCTGGCACATAGCACATGCTCACTAAACACCACCTGTTACCATCATGGATGTGGGATTGTTGGTCTGACCCTTCTCCCTTCCTTTAGGACACCTCCTCTCTCCCAGTCTGTACAAATACAATCCAAGCCTCCCGTTCTAAAAGGGAACGGGCGTCTCCCAACCTTAGGGATGGCATGTGACATGGCTGTAGCCAATCAGAAGCCTCTGTCTCCAGCCACAGTGATAAGTTCAGGGACGGCTGTGATCCAGTCTTGGCCAATCAGGCGAGGTCATGTGACCACACAGCCCGGGGGGCCTCCCAGGGCTTTTGTCCATCGTCAGGAAGGTCCTCTGGGATGACTGGTCAGCCAGGAGCTGCTGGGACTCTTTCTCTCTAGGCAGCCAGCACAGGGCAGCAGAGCCGTGTGGGGAGGGAGCCCCGCAGAGAGCGCCGCGCTGAAAGTTTATTTGCAGGACAGGGTGGTCGCGTAAGCCAGTGGGCGTCGGGCGTCTGTCTCTTGCAACTGAAAGAACAGTGACTGGGCACACGGGCTGGAGAGTTCCAGGGCCCACTTCTTTCACGGTGAACTGCCTGTGGGCAGGGCCTGTTTTTGTAGGAATTCACCAGTTCTAAATATCGTAGGTAGAGGAAGAATATGTCCTTCTCCCCCGAGTGAGTGGGTGCTCTGAGCCACGTGGATGTGCCACCAGCAAAGTCTTCCTCTTGGCCCTGTCCCCAAGTGGTCTGGTGGCTCAAACTAGCCTTGGACTATTGCCTCAACTCTGCCCTTCAGCCGTGGGTGCAGTCTCCGCCTCCCCAAGCACAGATGGCTCACAAACGGCCGTTCCAACAAGCATTTAGCCTCAATATGTGCCAGGTGCTAAGGGGGAGGGGGACGTAGGGATGTGGGCCCAGCCCTTGGGGAGCTTGGACTGGACTGGAAAGGGCAGCAGGGGTGTGTGTGGGTGAGCAGACAGAATCCCAAGTGACAGTAATAAATGTCAAGTCAGATGAGTGTGATCTTCAGCCACAGGAGGGAACCTGGTCTCGGTGGCCTGTCACAGGTCTGCAGCCTGCACCTGTTAGCACAATGCCCCGCAGACACAGCCTGCTTTCTGGCCGCCTCTCACTCAACCTGCTCCCCCGAGGGGAGGAAAACAAACCTTTGCATCCTTTCCCAGTCAGCCGAGCTTTCCCTGCACAAATAGAGAACCAGAGTAAATTACCTTGTGTCAAACTCGTTGCATTCAGTTACGGCAGAGAAAGCGTCGCCACTCATAGCTCCCGTGTGATCAGGGCAAGGTGCGCCCCCATTCCCAAAAGCAGTTCTAAGATGTTATGTGCCGTATTGTGATTCCTTAAGGGCCCATCTGACAGGACTGTTTCCTCTGCATATGGCATTTGCTGTCAGTGCGGAAACAAGGCTGTGATAGACTCGCAGCGCACAGTAAACACCATGTGATTCCGACACAAGCTGTCAGCACCTCGGTTCCGTGCCTCTCCCGCGGCACGGAGGATCCCAGGCAAGAAGGCTGCTGGTTGGAAGCCCAGGAAGAACTAAAAGGACCAGTAAGCACCTTTTTGTATTTTCTTCTCAACTTCAAATAAAGATATAAATGGGCCTATCTTCCCAAAACAACAATAAAAATCACAGTGCAATGTTTATAGTTCCTTTAGAAATGGATAAGGAGGCCACGGAAAGAAAAACATGAATGTGGGAATGATCAAGGTAACAGAAGGAGGTAAAAATCAAAGTTCTTGACGTGTGGAGAGCAAACCCGAGGTGCAGGTCCCTTCTGGACAGTCAGACGACACTGCAGTTGCAACCTGAGCAGCTCTGCAATATGTCCTTGGAGCGGACCCTTTCCGGTCTGTGTCAACAGAAGCTGCCTGTGTTGGTGACGGCCAGGCTGGAAGGGCTGTCACATCCCTTCTCCCAGGTGTGCTCTGCTGGGGGTGGTCAGGAGAAGCATCCACGAGTGGGGCAGAGGCCTTTTCCCTCTCTCCCCTGACTCTATCTTTCGGTCTGGGAGAACACTAGGATGCTGTACACACAGGCACATGCACACAGTACACGCATTGTACACACACAGGCCCTTTTAGAACGTGAAGATCCTGCTTTGGGCCACATGCTGCACTGGTCTTTTCCTCCAAGCCAGAAAGAGGCTGTCGTCACGTACGATGTGAGGAAGCACCAGGCTCCCCTGCCCTGAAGTATCCGTGAATCAGCCAGCCATTCTAACTGTATTCTTTTGGGTCCTTCGTTTACTCAACAAGCTCTCTTCCAAGTCTCCTGCTTTTTGATACTAGAAGTTTCCTTCAATGTTAGGCACGGATAGCGCTGGGAAGAGAAGCCACGTAACAGTGTCCCTGGGACAAAACTTCCCACATCAGTCGGGAAGAGCCCAGGAGGTTGTCTTGGCAGAGGGGCACAGACATCCTCTGGTGACGTGGGGTCGGTTTCAGGGGTGGTGCCCATGGGGGAGCACGCTAGAGTACAGTGATGGGGATGACAGAGTGGCTGACGGCAATGCAGGCGGGAGAGAGGCTGAGTCCAGGTGAAGCAGGAGGAAAAGGTCAAAGCCAGAGAAAAATGGGGCTTGAGGTTGAGGGGAGGAGCAAGGAGGGGCCGGAGTGGGGAAGTGAACCTCCAGGTGAGACGCCTGGAGGGCGCGGTGAAGTGTGGGACAAGGTGAGTTAGAAGGAGAATTCAGGGCGAGGTCTGAGACCACTGCAGGGTGCCACTGAGTGGACCTTCAAGAGTGGCTTAAAGAAAATGGATAGGAGGTGGTAGGTCACGTGGGGAGGGGTAAGGCACAAAGGGGCAGGAATCAGCCAGGAGTGTTAAGTGAGGGGTCAGCAAGAAGGCTTCCTTGGTAATGACTGTGAGTGTCTGAAAACACACATGCCAGGTACACACGCACACATCAGGCAACACGCATGTCCTAGAGGTCTGGGCACAGCCCGGCTGCTTCCAACTCTCCCTTTTCCAGGTCAAGCTTGACCAAGCCTGACTTGCCAAACTGTCAACCAACAGAGTCAAGGGGCCCCTTGTCCCCACCACCTTCACGTGGTGACACCAGAGGGCTTTGCTGAGACCTCCCTTGTCTCTCACCTATTCTCATAGCAAGCCACTGCCCGCAGCACAGCCCAGGCCCTTTGCCAAGGATGCCCAGTGGGAGAGCGCCTGGGGAGGGCAGTCTCAGCCCTGCCATCCACTGTCTGTGCAGCCTTGGACAAGTCACTTCCACTGCTAGACCTCACTTCCTTCATCCATAAAATGGGAAAATTAGAGTAAATAACCTCTACGTTCCTTCTCAGCCTGGAGACCTTCTCGAGGTGCCAGCTTCACGGAGGCAGATGATTACAGGGACTTGGACCCAATTCCAGGCTCAGTCTTAACCAGGATTGCAAAGCTCTGTTTCTCCAGCCCCAGCGGGGATTCCTGGTCTGGCATGTGGACCCCTGGTCCAGGGGCAATGGTAGGGAAGCGTCTCTGTAAAGGGCCAGCCGTACGCATTTTAGGCTCTGAGGGCCACGTGGTCCCCGCCACACCTATCCAACTCTGCCGCTGTAGTGACAGCCTTGCCAGACAATGTGCAGGCACCTCATCTTACTGTGTGTCTCACCGTATTTGCAGACGTTGTGTTTTTTAAACCTAATTGAAGGTTTGTGGCAGCCCTGCGTCCAACAAGTCTTTCTGCACCATTTTCCCCACAGCATGTGCTCCGTGTCACATTTTGGTAATTCTCTCAGTATTCTAAACTTTTTCATTATTATTATATCGGTTATGGTGATCTGTGATCAGTGAGCTTTGATGTTACCATTGTAATTGTTTTGGGGCACCGAGAACCGCACGGTGGAAGACGGCAAACTTTATGGATAAATGCTGTGCGTGTTCCGACCGCTCCACCAACCAGCCATTCTCCCATCTCTCCCGCTCTCCTCGGGCCTCCCTGCTCCCTGGGACACGGCAATATTGGAATTAGACCAATTAACAACCGCACAATGGCCTCTAAGTGTTCAAATGAACGGAAGAATCACACATCTCTGACTTTCAATCAAACGCTAGAGACGATTAAGCTGAGTGAAGCAGGCATGTTGAATACCGAGGCCAAAAGCTAGGCCTCTTCCCCTCGCTAGTTAGGCGAGTTGTGAGTGCAAAGGAAAAGTTCTTGCAGAAAATTAAAAGCGCTACTCTAGTAAACACACGCATAACAAGGAAGTGAACCGCCTTACTGCTGGTATGGAGAAAATGCTCGCTGATAACCCTTCAGCCTCTGAGGTCACAGAGCAAGCTGCTGCAGCGCTACTAAATAATTTCTGTCCCCGGCCTCCGCCATGAAGCTGGGTCCCCGTGGAGATTCTAGAAGGCGAGTGCTTGTAGCTGACCAGGACACGCCTCAAACACTCCAAGAGGCTACTCGGCTGCCTGGATCCCCGAGGCAGGCAGGGCTGCCACGCTTGGGCAAGGACTTCCCCAGAGCTAGCACGGGCTGGGGTCTGACTCCTACCCCTATCCTCTAAGCTCAGCGGTTTTCAACTGGGGACAGTTTGGACAATGTCCGTAGACATTTTCAGTTTGCACAACTTGGGGGTTACTCCTGGTGAGTGGGTGGGGGCCAGGGACGCAGCTAGACATCCCACACTGCACAGGACAGCCCCCACCACACAGAATCACCCTGCTCCAGACGGCGAGAGTGCCGCTCCTGGCGGGGCAGCCCCAGCCCACGGCTGCTGAGGACGAGCAACAACACACAGCGACACACGCGAGCACGCAGCCCAGTCTTGGCACACGGCAGGCCCCACACAAACGGCAGCCACTTCGATCACATCTCCTCGCCTGGATAGCTGGTGGTGAGAGGCGTCTTGACCACCCAGCGGCACCTAGGCAGGCGAGAGCTGCTCCAACACCACTGAGCCACTCAGCCCCGAGCTCCGCGGGGCAGGCGGGGCTCCGCTGTCCTGCGCCCTCTCCCTCTCGGGAAGAAGCCACATGTGTCCCCATAGCACACGCCCGAGGTTAAACTCTCACAACCCAGTCAATTCCTGCAAGACTCACAACCCCCAACGGACTTAGAACAGGAATGATATTGATAGTGAAGATAAATAAATGCTGTCACTGTTTTCATTCTTTTCGAGTGACACGAAGTGGGAACATACTTTCTTAATTAAGAGCCTGTGGTATGCGGACTCTGGGAGGGCAACCAGAGTTTCCCAGCAGAAAGAAGGCCGGGGCGCAGGCACTGAGGACGGCGCGGCCCCCCTCGGGTGGCCACGGGGCCCAGGTGCGGCGGGGGAGAGTGGGCGGCACCCCCAGGGATGGAGACCAAGAAAAAGCCACAGCCGGGGGCGTGGGGAGGGTGTCTGAGACCAGAACCTGCGCGGGACTGTTTTCCTCGCTGCCCCAGGCACTCCTGGAGCTGGCGCCAAGGAAAACACACGTTCCGCCTCAGAAGTAAGAGCAAGAACGGACGCGGCTTCCTGAGGAAATGGAAATGCTAACACCGGAGCCCTTGGAAATGAAACCACATGTTGATTGTGGGGGCAGGGGGGGAGTGGGGAGGTCCAAAAGGGATGCCTGGAGCCACCTCTCCACCAACTGGAGGTGCATTTCATTCCATTAACTTTGTTTTCCTGCAATACCAGGTTGGGGGGGTGGTTAGAAGATCCTACCAGACCCCAAGGCAATCTGGGGACAGATGTGAGGAGACCGGATCAGGCAGCAGGCCCTCCACTCCGCAGCATTGCAGGTCTGAGACAATAAACAGAAAAGGGATTTGAAAACAGCTTTCTCTTAAAAATCCCTGCCAAAGCCAGAGAAAACAATCGGGCGTCTGCTCTGAGGAGAAAGCTCTCTGACGTCTGAAAGGCGAGATAGCATCACGGCAACGCCAATCCTTCCCACCCGCCCCTTGGAAGGAGCAGGAGAGGAGGGACACGCTCAGGATCTGGTTAGCAACAGCTGAGTGGGCTCCTATTACTTCAAGAAAGATGTTTTCATGTGAATAAAAAAATGACATATGGCAATTACACAAACACACCCAAACCAAATCCCACTGTCTTCCTGTGCCTTTTGTCCCCTTCATTCTGGTCTCAAGTTGTACTGAATGTCTTGTGCTTGCCACATGTCTCTGTAGGATCCAAAATATTAAGCCCAGGTCTTATAAAGGTTGGTGGCACCTGGACAGGCCACGTGTAAAACCACTTAGTGGCAGGGTGTTTGGGCCTGGGCTGCCAGGCGGGGGTTGGGAGGAGGAAAGAAGGTTCTTGTCTGTGAATCTGTGGGAAGAAGAAGAGGATGGGCTGAGGAGTGCTGGGGGGGGGGGCTGCCTCTCTGCTGAGGGTCAGGGCTGTGGCTTGAACGCACTGGACGCAGCGAAGGAGGTTTCTGGCCAAGGGGCTGAGATGGACAGGACACAGAGAACATGCCGTCCCCACGGGGCCCCCAGAGTCAGGTAGTGACCTCTGTCTCATCCTCAAGGCCAAGAAAAGCAAAGAATTTGGATGTTTCTCTGCAGTGGGAACAGGACAAAGCACTGGGGGGAGGTGGTGAATGGAGGGGCGGCTGTCGCGTAGACTGAGGGAATGGCCAGGGCCACGTGGCGGGCAGGTCCACATGCTCTGCGGCCGACAGCTGGAAGAGGCCTGGCACACTGGGAAGAAGGTCTCAGCCACTGAGCCCTACGCCTCCTCCTCTGTCCCAAAGCCTGGCAGCCTGTGACCGCAAAGCCCGGCGTCTGCGATAACCTGGAGAGAATGCGACAACCGAGAGGCGTGAGCAGAAAAGGCACCTGGCAGACACATCAGCAGTGCAGGGTCTTTAAAATCTGGGGCAGGAAGGAAATACACCAATGGGCGACCTGTAGTCGTCTCACCACTTCAAGATTTGCAAGGTTTTACAAATGAGGGGAGAACAACTATCCCAAAAGCACAGCTGCCAAATTGCTGTGATTAGGAAGAGCCTGGAAAGCGGAGGACTGTGACTGCCAGACGTCTCCTCTGTCCGTGTGGGGACTGGGTAATGTGCAGGTGCTCTGGAGGGCGTCGTGTTTCACCCTGCATGGCCCGAGGCGGAACCTTCCAGAGCACCGGGACCAGGCCTGCTGAGGTGCCAGGCACCAGGGCAGTCTGGTCGGTGGTGACTGCCGTCCCTGTCCTGGGGACTTAGGACCTTCACTCACTTGTGCTCTACCTGCCACCATCGGGGGGCGCCGTCCCCCTAGGAGGACATCCTTTCTACAACCTTTTCTCCCCTTGAAAAAAAACTTCCATGCAGCTATAAGCAGTTTTAGAAAGTGAACCGCTCAGGCCACACCCAGACGGATTGCATCAAATCTCTGGGGGTGGGGTGTTTCCTTTTAAAGCTCCCCAGTTAGCGCCCCGGTGCCGCATGAACTATAAGGGCTAGCTCACCGTTCATCCCCTGCGCCTGGAACAGTGCCTGGCCCGAGCAGGAGTGCAGGTGTATGTGTAAAATGAACGAATGATTGGACAAATGAACGAACAAAGCAATGTGACAGGGAGGCCACACGCTTCCAAATGGGGAGTATGGATCTCAGGCCCCCATTCTCACGCCACCCCCCCCTACCCCCCCATGGCTCATCTGCCAGAAATGAAGGTCTCCCTGAAGCAACTGGGTGAGGAAGAGCTGTGCCTTGCACGGCTTCCGCCTAAGGGAAACAAAAGGGCCGCTGCCTGCCATGCTTAGAGCTGCACCGTGGTGCGCCCAGAGCCCCAGGAGTGAGTGGCCTCAGCCCGGGCCCCGCCTGGCTCGCAGCTTTCCAGAAAGCACACCGGAGCATGGGGCTGGGGCCAGGGGACTGGACTTTGCCACCAGCTCTACCTCTGACCCTGCATGACCTCAGACCCATCTTTCTCCTCTCTGGACCTTGGTTTCTCTTTTTACAAAATGAGGCTGATGAACAAGAGAAGCTTCAATGTCGCCACCTCTGATTTGGAGAGCGGCGTGGGGAGGTCGTGAGCCTGGTGGGAAGGGAGGCATCAGAGACCCACGCAGAGCTCACCAACCTCGGGGTCTCTGAACCCACTCAGCCTCCTTCCCTCCCACACCTGCATCTCGGCCATACAGCTGGGGCAACACAGGCCTGGGAGTCATCACCGTGCCTCAGTCTCTCTCAAGAGCTTTTCAGATCGACCCTTGGATAAGTCTGCCCAACCGCCTCTCCCTGCACACTGCCCTGGCCTGCCAGAAAAAAGAGCAGGGTGGGGTGGGGGTCCTGAGGTCGGGGAGGCTGGGCCCACCTTGCCTTCCAGGGCCCCAGCCTGGCTTCACCTGGAGCTATGAGCTAATCACACCAAAGCCACAGGAGGGCAGGGCAGGGAAGTGGCTGGGCAAGACGGGGGCCAAGGCAAATAGCAGCCTCCCTGCAGACCTGGCTCGCCCTGCCCCAGCCCTGACGAGGCTCCCAGCTCCTTTCTGGGCCATGGCCAGGGTCTAGCAGGGCTCACGGCTGGGCTGGCCAAAGCAGCTTGAGAAATGAGTGCCTGGGAAGGGGGAGGTGACCGATGGTCTCCTTAAAGTCCTGATAACTCAGGGTCCCAAGACCCCCAGCCACCCTCGATCCTGCAGACACGATCCCCATCAAAGGCTCAGCCAACCAGTGTGTGCGCTTCCCGGGACAGGAAGCACTCCCCCCCCAGTGCCCAAGGTTCTTCCCCAACACCGTGCTCAGCGTGCACATTCATTTCGAGAGCACGCCCGTCTTTCTGTCATACTGCCCCTTGGTCCTCGCTCTTGGGATGCAGAGGACAAACGTCTGGCAGCAGTTATCCTGTGCTCCCGGAGTCCTCTTGTAGCTTCCAGTCCCCCCTCAGTCCACACAACACCCCGACTTCCTTTCCCCAAGAAACAGAGCATGGTGGGTTCCGCCCGCTGGAACCCGAGCTGGGCCTTTGGTGCTCCAGTGTCAAGCCACATCGGCTGCTTCCACAGAGCCCGCTCCCATCTTTGCTCAGCTGAGCCCAGACTCAAGAGCAGCTGCTGCGGCTGGCGTGACGAGGGAGCGCTGGGCGTATTCCCAGGCACGCTGAGCCCCCCAGTGCCCACGTGCCGGGCGAGAAGTGGGGGACAGGCATGTTGCACCAGCAGAATCGAACACGGGGAAAGCTGGAGTCTAGATTCAGACCTCACTGAGAGGAGTTACACAGCTCATGCTGTCAGGATTTCTGACGTGGATTTTTATAGTTTGGCAGAGCTAGTTTCCAGAAAGAGATGAGCTTTGGGTTGGACAGTGGTCTTCCCAGTTCGCCACCTGATGTACGATAATAACAACAACTGAAACAGCAGAAAACATGATCGGGGCGCTTCCTGTACACCCGGCACCGTTCTAGGCACGCTACATGCTTGTCTCACGCAATCCTCACGGCCACCCTATGAAGCAGATGCTGTATTTTAGATGCCTAAAAAAGAGGTGCTAAGAAGGAACTCACCTAGAGTCACGGTGCTAGTAAGAGGCAGAGCTGGATTTGAACCCAGCTCTTGCTGACAGCAGAACAACTACTCTGCATCTTTTAGCTTCTAAGGGCTCGAAGGCAGCAGCAGACAAGGACTCGAGACCTTGAGAGGTGGATGACATCACATGAACGGCACCACCTGGCAACCTCCATCGGCCCTCGGGGGAGAGGAGGCACCCCTGTCGCCCAGATGTGCCGCTGACCTATCGATCATTCAGAGTCCTCGGACCCAGGGCTGCTCTGCACTCTGAGCCCAGGAGCTCCAGCCTCCAGGGGATTGCGAGAAGGGGACACCACGGCAGCTCAGGGACCACCTATAACCTGGGCGTTTACATCCACTGGCTGGGCTGGTCCAGAAGAATTGTCTGGAATGCCCTTCCCTCCGATCCTCCTCCAGAGAGGCTGACTTAAGCACACGGCTCCTCCCCTGCTCTGAGCTCCTTCGGCTCTGCAGCCCCCACTGCACACGTGATCGTGTAACTTACGTGCTGTCTCAGACCTCTGGCTGCTGTCCTAGGAGTTGGCCCTGCCTCCTTGGCTAAACTGTAAATTTTCTCTCTCCACCGCCACCCTCTTTGCCTCCCCTGCAGAGCCCAGGACAGTCTGGACGCTTATGAGCCCAGGACAGTCTGGACGCTTATGAGCCCAGGACAGTCTGGACGCTTATGAGCCCAGGACAGTCTGGACGCTTATGAGGTCACTGATAAATATACGATGGATGAAAGCAGGAGCAGCCATGAGAAAAGTTATTCACTAAGATCTTGTTTACACTTATTTTGTCAAAACAAATCTGCTGCTCCTTTAAGGGAGAGACTTAACATCCCTGGTGTCTACCAGTCAATGCTCGGCTTGAACAGGGTGTTGGAATTGCTTTTCGCAGCACATTGGGGACCTACATCGAGGCAAGTCCTTAGGCCCACAGGACAGGAGTCCAGACGGGCTGGACCTGACCTGGGGTAGGCAGGGACCAGGCCGTCCTGCTCCCCACTACCCAGGCCCAGCACAGGGCCTGGCACAGGGCTGGCGTGCACCAGCACTTGATGGGTGAATGAACGAATACATCTACAGCCCAGTGCGTCGGTTCTCAGCCGATGCTGGACTCAGCCTGTGCCGAGCAGGCTGTGATCTGCCACACAGGAAACGCGGCCC